GAAAAAGCACTTTTAAATGCCTAAAACAAGAAATCCCATGACTTTCAATGGCCCTGGTTCACACCTGAGCAGAAAAACGCCAGCAGAAAAAAGCCAAACGCCCGAAAAAGTACAGGAGCTTCTTGGGGCAGTTAAAAGCGTGTTCTTGCCCCATAGGACTTCAATGGAAATGCCCAAAAACGTACAGTAGAAGCATGTTGCGCATTTGCGTGAGCATTTTTGCACTTTTAAACGTGCGTTCAATTGCCTGCAATGTTTCATGAGCAATGTTTTGCACAAGGCGCAAATAACCGCATGCTGCTCAAGTACATACAAATGCACAAAAATGGTGCCGCCTAAGTGTGAACCAGGCCTTAGGGACCACGCTTTACAGAGGTGCCTTGACATGTATTTGTGATTGTAAGCAACATAAACCTCTGTTTTTTAAATGGATTTCTTTTGGATGGACGAGCTGAATTTTTGTATTGCTCTGAGATCAAGTTGATTAGCTTCAGAATTTCATTTGAGTTCCTCACAGGTGCATTTGACCTGCACTGGACCTCCTCCTAAAGCTGGCCATACACTTTACAACCATCGCAAGACTTTCGTCTTGCGTTGGTTGTAAGGTAATTAAAAGCTCGTACGATCTGCCCATCTTGGACAGGCAGATCGTACTTGCGATCATCATAAGCCCGCCCCAATTTTTGGCTGCTTTTCAAACATGTTCGTAAGACAAAAGACGTGCAACCGCACAGTAGAAACGATCGCACGCCTTCCATGCACCTGCCGATTTTTGTACAATTGCGGGATTTCCCGCGATTATCATACAATAATCGGCAGGTGTATGGCCACCTTTACTGGCATTTGACTTCTTCAAGTTACTTTGAACTCCGGCTGACTCCGGGACAAAAGCAGTTCTGATGCAAACAAAAGCCCATATACACAGGTGCTTACAAGTCAAAATAAATCCCAGCTGTCATTTATTTGAATGAGAAAAAGATAATTAAAAAATAAAAATCTGATTGGTTTCTGGAGGAAAATGTTTTCTCTTTTGAAAAAGGTTTAGATCTTTGACTATTCCAAACTTGCTTCTTAGAATATGACAGAATGCCTCATGGGCACCAGAGAGGGATATGACAGCTGTGCTCTGGGCTGTCTGTACAAGCATTGTATATTTGTTGTTTTCATAGCTTGGCATCTTGTCTACATCTCTCCAGTATATGTGAGCACAGACAGGTATGAACTATATTAATGACCATCACTGGCTGCTGCACACAGGTCATGGATTTTTGCCCTCGTGACGGTCCGATATATCAGGCCAAGGATGATCAGTCAGGATCACATGACAATGTCGGCTGGACGCTGCCATCTGTTGGCTCTGCTGTGTCTATAATTGAAAGTGGCTCTTCTCATACAGCCATCTGTCTAGCCAGCACCAGGCACAACCTTACTTCCCATGGGAGCTTGAGGCTCACAGCACTGCACCCTGGAAGTGGAGCTAAGGAAGGGTGGACTATACTGGTAATGCTATTTCAACATGTTAGAACGTATCCAAATCCTAATAGCATAGATTCCATTGTAGAAATCACTTGCTGATCCTTGTTGTTCTACAACGCAGACTCTACTCTGTCCATGGAGGCAGAAGATGTCAAAACAAATTGCAGTGTGATCTGCTTGTTCTGCATTGCCAAACTTTTATGCAAAACCAGACAAAATAATGTTTCTAGCTTTTAGGTTAGAATAAAACCTCTGCCAGGTTTTTGTTGCTGTCCTGGTGAATTATCTCACATGCTGACACACAGGGGTTCACTGGGACAGGAAGTAGAGGTTATTACTCCCCCCCCCCCCTATCTATTTGTTGTCTATTTTAGTCAAAGTGTTCGCTGACAATTTGCCACAGCCGGGTGCCACTTTTGCTACAGCTATGCCAAGGATCAAATTTTCCCAGAGTATTCTTTGTCTTCACATTATTTCAACTTCTCTTGGTGAACCTGACTCTTTTCCAGATCTCATCCTAAACAGCTGACTGGCCTTATTCTTACTCATTTACAGCAGACAGCAGCTGGTCCCAGTTTCTATTTGAATGGACATAGAACATGACAGAGTAACCGCTTTCAGTTTTTGGGTGGATGCTGGTTGGTTGAATCACCCATTGACCTCTGATGTTGCAGGGACTGTCTGCTGTAACTACTGACCCCTCCCATTCTATTTCCACAGCATAGAGAGCTCCGTTTACTGCATTCTCCAGAAAGAAAGAAAATATGACAGCCAGGCAACTAGCATTTTCAAAAAATGAAGTGGAAGGCTCCATCTTTCTCTCATGACAGTTTTCCTTTAAGATCAGAAAAAAAAACCCTCTCCGAGAGGTTTCCATCACACGGTTGGCTGAGCAGTTTAGATTTTCTGCGCACGTACGCAGCGCAGCCCAGCCAACAGCTGGATTCACCCTCAGGCTGCAAGTCGGGAGCTGTGGACCTTGTTGCCCAGAGGGTAGAACATGCTGAAATGAATATTCAAGAGCAGGATGGAGTGTCCCGATTTTACAAATGACAAAAAAGGCTTATTTAAAAGCAACTTTGTCATGAAAAAAAAATTCTGTAAAATGAGAATAATTGGCTTACCTGAAAAGCTACATGGCAGAAGAGTATTTAGCATCATCAAACTTTCAGGTGTGTCAGATACGTGGCCCACCTCTATGCTTTGTCATTCCACCAGCCGGCTGCTATGTCATTACTGTGTCCTGTAGTAACATGGCTGGCAGGTGGAATCACAGTGCACAGTGGGGAACCAGGCATACAACACTCTGTGATCTGTGTTGTATGGTGAAGATTCTTTAGCCAGCATAGGTCTTTACGGGTGGAAGGTAAGCATGAAATCTTTTCTTTTGAAAAGTTTAATTTCTTTTTTCTCAACAGGGTGCAAAGTGGCCTATGAAGGAGAATCACCAAGGCCGAAATGTAGCCCTTGATGGTACTCAAGGCCAAGCATTGGTTTAGACCAGACTAGAGGAAAGCAAAATGCCTTCCAGGTGCAATAGTGGACCATGCAAGAGGTCCACAACCTAGTTTTCAGAAACATAGGGATGACAGCTTCCAAGAGGCCTTTTGTTCTTCAGGAACTTGGCTTCAACAGCCAGGTCGTTAAAACCAGTGATTAAGAAGCATGGTGGAATACCAGGCCCTGGCACAGTAGGTTTGGATGCCAGGAGTTTGAACAAGTCCGTGTACCACAGCCTTCTGTGTCTGTTGGGAACAATAAGGATCACTAGAATGCCCTCTGTCCCCATTCGTGGAAAGTAGCCGAGGCAAGAGTTTTAGATAAACGAAGGCATAATTTAAGCCAAGCGAATCCCGGTGACTTCCTGTGCACACTGAATCCTAGGGCTTGGGAATTACTCTGCAGCAGTTGTATACTTGGAAGACTGGGATATCCTGGATCGTTACTGATATTATCTATGGAACTGTTACCCTGGATAGTTACTGATACTAATTGAAGTGAGGGGATACCAAGAGGAAGCCAACACTATCCTAAAACGATATATGACCATTATCCATTCACTGAGGGTGAATAAGGAGCACTGTAAGTAGCTCTGAAGATTGATGTGTGAGTCAGTCACGAAGTGGAGTGATTTATGGATTTAGTTGTCTTGTCACTTTTATATTTAATATAGTGGACTTTATTATAAGAATTTGCCATTTTGCACGTCACTATTATGAATGTTTTTTAATGAAAAATATTCACATTTATATTCATAAGCACTTGAATTTGGTGGAATATCACATTGTGCTATAAGGAAGGAATTTTTTGATGGTGTTTTTATGCGTGTTTTAAGCCTACAAGCACAGTGCACTATTTATTCAGGTCGTTAAAACCAGTGATCAAGAAGCAGGGTGGAGTACCAGGCCTTAGCACCGTAGGTTTGGATGATCTAGAAGTGCCCACGGGATGTCTGTCAGGGGTTTGACCATGTCTGCGTACCACAGCCTCCTGTTTCGGTTGGGAGCAATCAGGATCACTAGAATACCCTCCGTCTCCCTCCTGGAAAGTAGCCAAGGCAAGAGTTTCACAGGAACTAAGCCATCATTTAAGCCAAAATGTTCCCATGGACCAATGCTGGTCCTAGCGGCAAACCTCCCCAGCTTGTTGTTGAACATGGACACCAGTAGATCCCAGTACAGTTATCGGTAAGGGGGAATACAGCATTAAAGGGCTAACCGAACTGCCCTGAGCTCCAGCTCCCTTCCTTCAGTCCACCTGAAGGAAGGGAATTGAGAGTGAAGCAATAGGATCTTATTCTGAGGAAGAAATACCCTGGGCAGAGCTGTATTCAAGACCAGGCCCAGCTACTGCAAAGTGATGGGAGAGTTCCAGCAATGGGTTCTGGAGATGCTGGACCCATCTGAAGCTCTGCAGGTTTTGTATGGTGCAATGAATGTTGGACGACAAGGCTTGAGCAAACTGTTCCCTGAGGAGCAAGTCATCCAGGTACCTCACCATGGGGATCCCCTAAAACTGAAGCAGAGCCAGCACAGGGGCCAACACCTTGATGAAGACCCGAGGCGCAGAGAAACAAACTGGTAGTGTTGCATGCCCATAGCAAAACGCAGGTAGCACTGATGGGCAGACAAGTTGGGGGTGTGCAAAAATGTATCCTTAATGTACACTGAGGCCAGAAAATCTCCCAGGTAAAATGAGGCAATGACAGAGTGGGCAGATTCCATACAGAACTTTTGGACTTGTGGGATTTTTGGGAATTCATTGAGCATTTAGAATAGGGCAAACCCCCCC